TGAGCCCGATCCCGCCTCCAGTCTTCTTGACTCTGTCTTGACACCGGCTACAGGTTGGTGAGGGAGGAGAGAGTGCCATAGATGCTGTACAAGTCTACTCTCAGTTAAAGCTAATCAACACGCATTTTCCCGCGTTTGCCTTCAGTTTTCTGAAGTACGCAGTGGGCGTCGTCGAAATCTGCGGTTGATTACGGCTAGAAAGTCAGACAGGACCACTCCCTTTTCTTAGTAATGCATTTCTGTTTAGAAAATGTGCTAGCCTCTGAGTAGTTGCTGGCGCAGCTCGAGATTGAGCCGCAAAGCACAACCGGACGCATCTCTCTCTCTCCCAGCCCGAACCGCGAGTGTCCCGCTACTACTGTGAAATTTTATGTCGCATGCGGCTAATGTTTATTCGGTCATTGTCTTCCCGACGGGACTATGAAAAGCTGTTAATTCCACCAATATTCTCCTTAATGGCTCAGCCGTAACGATGGGATTAGTCGATTCACGATAGCTGTCAATAATACGTTCATGGTCGAACGAGAACATATATATGATTCTTATTGTCCTTAACCGTCTTACCCACAAGTGGTTACGGTAACTGATAGTCGGCGATAGTGTCTTCAGTGAAATACCCCGAGAGCCACCTGACCAGTGTGGAGAAGGGGTGCGGTCATCCGTAAAATTCGCTCATTGAGAAGTCGACGATGTTCTAATGAGCCAACTTCGCGTGCTCCGCTCAACTTCTCGTGACTGTTACCACCACTGCTGCATACAAGTGTCTGCCGGCACAATCCAGTCTGGCTAATCACATTTAGGACTTACTCACACAGATCCTGACTGTAACGACTACCGTGTTCTCACACAACTTGGACCTCACCCTTGCGGGCAGTCGTGCACTCTTCTGACTGGCAACTTCCTCTAACCCATTCTCCACTATCTCTATACACACTCTACTATTCCTCCCGCTCGCCAAAAGTCGGGAGATTATACACGGTAGAAGGCAGTACGGTCGGCTGTGTCCGATGAATCACCTTTTTTCAAGTTAAACGTATTATTGCTTTTAAAGGTCTTATTTCTTGTAGGGCGCTGTTCCAACGATGGGACGGGCAGCTGTTGTGAATGTGGCCCAACTTGTCTCCTATTCACAGTTCAAACAGATTATCGTCGAACACAGTAAGTTTTACGCTTTCTCATGACAATTTTTCCTGTTAATACTCGAGAAAGTCCAGTT